AGCTACTGAGCAGGCCAGCCACATGTGGGCAGTCTCACATTTCATCCATCTTTTGCATTGTCTCATATTCTTTTGAAGACCAAGCTTGCAGCATGTAAATTTGCTTGGTGCAGAAACCATGTGCTTGTCCAACTCGAAAGTGAAGGACATCAGGGGTAGCAATTTACTGGCCCTGTGCCATGCAAATCTTGACCCAAAGTGGACGAAGTCAAAGCCATGTTTTACGTTTCCAGTGTGAAACTTCGAGACAAGCAGTCGCCTCAAACGGATGCTTAGTTCATTCCTTTTTTACTTTGTCTTCTTAGGGTCTTAGGGTCGTAGAGCTTCTTATTCATCAAAAGCTGCCAATGGTGAAACTTGAAAAAATCACTCAGCAAATCTCCTAAATCTCTCAACCCCAACAAACAGAAGCCTTCTCTTCTCCCGATTCGACCCTGGATGTGCAACCCCAAGACCTGACTGCTTGAGCCAAAGACCCTTAAGACACTCCAAACCTCGAAGCACCGCATCGGGGCCATTGCTCCAACTAGTTTCTTGCTACTAGTAGCGTCCTTGCTCCTAGTAGAAATGCCCTTTGCTCCTAGTAGCTTCTTGCTGCTGATAGCGATGCCAGGAGCTACTAGTAGCGTCCTTGCTACTAGTAGTAATGCCCATTGTTACTACCTCAGTATGGACTTGGCGCAAATGTGTTCCGAATCGACATCTCCGCGTTCGGTTGCCATGATCACTCGCTTGCGTTCACATCAGGCAGCCGGATGCCTCGACTGGACTTTGGAATCTTGTTTCGCCATGTCTTAGGCATTTGCGGCATTCCCACTTAGGCATGGTGCAAAATGAGTTCAGTAGGAGTGTTCCAAGTCGGCCAGACTCCTCTCAACATACGGGCTGCCTCCTCGTCCGATGGATGAGCCGCACGGGGCCCCTGGAGCCTGACAAGCTGAGCGCCTCCAAGTCCAACCACCCGATCATATCAAGTGGGGAGTTGGGTGACCGCCCTTTCGCTTCACTGGCAGTTGGGTGAACCCCTTTCGCTTCACGTGAGGCTTCGAAGAGGACTTGGTGTCGGCTTCCGGCTCTCACCCACACCCACCTGAGCAGTGTCAAGAACCCACCTCATGGCTTTGTAATGCAGCTTTGGCGCACGCAATTCCGCGTCACTGCACGTTGACTGTCAGGAATATTTTTAAGGGCTCCTGTTCAGGTGTAGTGGAACATACTAGAACAAGGCTCAAACGCTCAAAGGTATTTGAGAAAAACTTCTGTGTGGTGTGCTTTCGCTTACACGAGGGTTCCTCAATGTCATGTCACTGCTGCTGTGCTGCCCAAATGAGATTGCTTTGCAATCGTCGGCATCACTTGCAGGTGGATAAACCCAGCACACCCTTGCCCCTTACTTGCCCGTGCACACAACCTGTGGAGAACAAACGGATCAGGTGAATCCGGCATGGAGGGCTTTTGTCGAAGGCTACACAGTAAAGTCAACTTCCAGCGCATCAATGGGGTCAGCCAGAGCATCAACCGCCACTGCACTGTTCATGAGCTCGCAAGATTTGACGCGTGATTCCTTGATTTATCGAACCCATAAGATTCCTGAACTCGACAGTCAATTGGGTTGAGAGCCTGAGGTCCCTGGTTTGGAATCCAGAAGCGGTTGCTTTGTCTTATTTCAGCGTCTCCACAACCGACATTTTAAGGCTTCTACTTAGCGCTGAGCAAGGACTTTGTTGAGATTTCTTCTGTTGATGGTGACCACCATGGTGAGGTGGAATGGGATGGCCCCCGAATCAATGGAAGTTGGAAACAAAGGCATTGTAATGAATTGAACGGATGCATTTCTCTCAGCATCAAGCAAACCTTCCCCTGGCAACTCATACAGTAAGCCACCATGCTTCGCAGGAATCATGTGAAAGAGGGACAGACTTCTGCGAGGACAGTAAATAGAAGTGTCCTCAAGGTCACTGCATCAACCGAGAGTCTTGTCTGCCAGGAGTTCAGCATACTTGGCCGGGTGCCACACCATGAAGGGAGCACCAATGCAGGCAGAGAAGGTCGCGGTCGGCTCACTCACGCCCATGGCCAGGACATGTGCTTTATTGGCATTTAACGATTATGGTTTGTACCCTGAACTATTTACGTTGCAAGTTTTCACTTCTTATGGGGCCAACTGTAATTCAACATATTCACCTACCTGCAATGGATGCAACATGTTCAGTGAAACCGTCCAGAAGTAGGGCAGCCGCAAAAACATCTTAACTCCACAAAGTGTTCATGATGGCTTTGTGGATTGCAAATACGAAAAGGGTGGGCTGCTTGCCTTTCAGTGGTTTAAAAAGCACACACAAGTGACATGAACTGTGGCAAGTGACATGAACTGTGCTAGGCGAGCTGTCTCTCAGCAAGAACCTTCTGAGACCGAGCAAAACACCAAAATTCTACGGTCTGTCTGTCAGATTTGGCCACAGACTCTGCGGTGCCCACAGGTCCACAGGTCTCGATTCTGCCGTTTGTTGGTGGGACGCCAGACTTGATAGGTGCAACAAGGCACCTGATAGGCGGATAGGCACCAAAAGGAGCCAAAGGTGAAAGGAAATGCACCTCCACATATCAACAAGTGAGCTACGTCGAAAAGCCTTGTGTCGTGGCTTTGCGCTGCTAGTTGGCTTGCACGACTACCTCCGCATCTCTTTGCGCGCTGTGTTTTGGCTTATTTTGGCCTTCCTGGGACACTGTGCCGCATGCATCACTTGTGCAACGAGAAGCTACTGCAAAATTGTAAACATTCGGCGCACGATGCCTCAGAAAAGATGGTCATGCAGCCCTGCACTGACTTGAAGTACATGAGCTCTATTGCCACCCTTCCGTATTGGAGGGTGTTGCTTACACAACACAGGTGGAGAACAATCAGACTATGTGGGTCGAGCATAGAGGTTTAGAAGGGTGTTTTTTGTCTGGTCAATGGTTTATATAAGGCATATTGAAGTGCCTTGTCTTTTCTATTTCAGGATACAGGACAGGGCATCTTTTTGGAAGCTGGGGAACTATTCTCGGCGTGCTCAAAAGCACCATAGACACCTCGCGCAAACCGATCATCAGTGAAGAGTTCTGTGGGAATATGCTCTGCTTCGCTGAAAGAAGGGATCCTTCAGAGGATTCATGAAGTTCTGAGATGACCACGAGACCACTAAGGCCAGAGCTCAAGCAGGTCTAAACAAAAAGACAAGGCTCAAGGCTGATCAAGTAGCCATGAGTGCAATCTGAAAGCTTTTCAAAGCCTTATCCTTCTCCCATGTGGCACGGCTTCAATTGAGATGCATTTGCCCCTACAAACCAGTGATCCTTTCGCAGCATCTGACAGCAAACGTTTTTTGGGCTGTGCTTTGAATGACCAGATTCGTCTATTGTTCCATTTTTTGCTTCTGCGTCTCAGCACGACTTGCACGAGTTGACAATCCTTGACGCGGTGCATCAGAGCTTTTGGTGGACGAAAAGCTGCCAACTGCCCAAGCAGTTTCAGAACTAGCTTGCAGCCTTCGGAGCGTCAAGGTCGCCAAAACCTCCACTGTCTTGGCGCTTTGCTGCCTGAGACTGACACTCATCAGAAGGTGTCAGAACTGTCTCGGCCGTCACACTCAGCCCCGAACTGAAAGCGGGATGCAACATGGCCGCAATCTTTCAAGGAGTAACAGTTGCTAGGAGCAATGTCAAGGTGGCTAAACAACTGCCCTAAAGGCTTTTGTGGAACCTGCAAAAACTGCCAAGCACTTCACGAATAGCGCGATTCTTATAACAGCCATAAAAGGGTTGCAGTCTTTGAAACTCATCAGGCAATTCCTGGCAGGACCTACTTGTAGGGGATACTACCCACTTCCCACGCAGAAATGAAAACAACACGATTGAATTTTGCTCAGCAAGCTTGCTCACCCTGTGAAGCGGTGCTCCCTATCGCTGAAAACATGGCATGGCAGTTTCTGACCAGCGAAGACACCTCAAAACAGTGTCATGATGGAAGCTGAAAGCCCTCGGTCACTCAGCAAGCAAGTTAGCTACCCAAATGTTCATGATCCTCCTACCTGAAACGACACTCATCAGGCAATTCCTGGCAGCTCTTACTCATACAGAATGCTACCCACAGGCTTGGCCTGAACCCATGCAAATGTGCGTGGTCACCTTGTCATGATGCTGTACTCCCCATAGCTGAAAACATGGCATGGCAGTTTTTGACCAGCGAAGGCACCTCAAAACAGCGCCATGATGGAAGCTGAAACCACACCCTCGATCACCTAGCAAACAAGTTAGCCACCAACACTGGCTACATTGCTACATTCTCATCATGCTTTCAGCTGAGGCGCACTTGGCATTGTGGGTGCATGAAGTTGTTGGTTTCAGTCTAAAAATGTTTAAATGGTTTGCTGGAGACCAGATGCTATTACACGAGAGATCCAGTTGGCGGACAAATACGTGATGACAAGGGAAGTTGGTCGATTGTCTGGAACTGATCAAGTATTTCAGTCTTTTACAAGTGGACATGGAACCAGGCGCAACATGTTTCGCTCCGATGAGTTCTGGCGCATCGAGCAGGTCTACACGAAGCGCCCACCTGGACGGATTGCTCCCTTTGATCCGGTCAAATAAGGCACTTGGAGGGCTCAAGG